ATGTAGCCATACACCAGCCTCTTTCAGACCAGAAAAAGCAGTTTTGATTTCCTCCTCAGGCTATGGTATTAGTTAGATGGATCCCTGAGAACGTGGCTATTTCTATTATCAAATACAGTGTCTTGACAATGGCCCATAAATTCGTTGTTGTCTTGTTCATCTTTCTGCTGCTGCTCATTAATCATAGTAAAGGCAGAGATAAGTGGGCCAACTTCAGGATCTTGCAGTTAGGTCAATATCCTAGAAGACATCTTGTTCTCCTGAAGTCTTTGTATTGGTTACTTATTATTTTGTCTTCATATTTGTTACTTGTTATTTTGCCTTTTTTCACTTTTTTTGTTTCCTTACTTTTGAAGTTTGTGTCTCAGAATATTCTTACAGTTTTGACGACAATCTTCTGCTTTGTCCATCATGTTCTTCACCCATCTATCTCTTTCTGCTCATTGAAAGGTTTATTTTCAGAGCTGCAGATGAGTCTAGATGAGTCTATTTTCCTCTATACAGCTTTTCCTGTGGATTTTGCCTATTGGTATTTTTTAGACAAGCTTTCAGAACTTTCTGCTATTTAGACCTTTTTTTTTTTTTATCAACACATCCTTTCTTTTATTTGTTGATGTTTCTCTATTCATCTGTTGTAGCCTACATATTCTCTAATCGCTCCTTAACCTTATTCCATCTTGTATATTCAGCACTGTTTCTACTACCTGTCATGCTCCCTAGCTGGTCTTTTCTGCTTCTGAATTAGGGATATCAATATATGCTCCATAAGATGCAATCTCCCTCTGGGTTTACATGTGAACTACAGGTTGGGTGTCCCACAGTTAGCCTGCCATGTCCACCTGTGGTTATCTTTTTGTCTTTCTCTTCAGACAGCATTTGGAGCTACTATTGCTTTGCTTTCTCCCTACACTTTTTCTACACTCCCTCATTAGTGTAGTTCCACCAATTCCCAATGCTTAGTCCTCTCTGCCGTAGCATTTATCTTATAACACTTCCTTCCTGTTTCCTATTAAAGATTTTATTTTTAATCTTGTTTTTTATAATTCTCTCACCAAACCCTTTTACATCTTCTGACTTGCAATTTTATAACATCAAAAATGACAGATTTTGAAAACCCAAATTATTATATTACATTTTAGATTTTTTACAAACTTCGATTTCATTCTGCACACAAATCCTGCCATAAGAAGAGGGGACAAAAAAGAAACACAAAACAAAAACAAAACAAAAAACCCCCAAGATTAAACATTATTTTTCTTTAAAAAGGACATATTAAAAGAATATCCACTGACATGTTTGTTTCCAGCTTATTGTTTTCCAAGCTACGGGATTACCATGTAGCCAAAGACCTTTCTGACATCAACTTCTCTGAACATACAGCCATTTCTATTCTGCTAGAAAAACAAAAAAAAATTCTAAGTCGACTTGTTATTTGTATGGATAATTTACTAGGGATGGTACTTGCTGTAGTTAAATATCACGTAACTCAGTTGGGAGCAAAGAAAAGGAAATGTAAGTTTCAAGTTCAGCTCTACAATGGATATTCTGTGGGTTCTTTCTCCTAGCTAATTATCTTATCTTCAGTGATTCTTCTCTAATATATTTACATCACAAATGCATTTTGAGGTCAAAGTCATTAATACTTGTGTGGTGTTTGAAGATGCTTGCAAGGAGCACATTAAAAAGGGCCAAATATATTAATTATTATTATAGTACCAGACCCTAGGGAGATTCAAACATAATAGTTACAATTATGTTAAAATATGCCTTCTGAGAACTACAATAATCTGACAAATGGCTGTTTATTTCTGGGCCTAGCTCACCACTATATAATTCTAGTTTATTGTATAATAAAATTTGCAAGTATACAAGGAGAAATCACAGAATTCATATATCTTATTAATAACACAGCTGGTGCGATATTCCTCAGTATCTCCACTGTCTCCTTTTATGCCCTCCTAGAGTTCAGATTAGACTTTAGATCCTGAAGGCCAAAGACCCTTACCAACTTCATCAGAAGCACTCTGTGTCTATGTAAAAGACAGAGCAAGGCCCAGACCAAGTAGTGCTGACTAAGTCACACCCACACTGTAGTTTTTAAAGCCTGGCATGAGTGACCACCTTCAGTGCCTTGGGATTTCTGGTCCAGGTTTCAGAGCAGAGCAAACAATGTATTTGTAGTATTGACCATCTTCCATGACTTCAGTGAACTGAAGCAAAGCAAAACAAGCTGACAGTTTGACAGCTGATGTGCACAACGTAACTGATATACTGATTTGCTCCTTTGCATGGTTTCTGTCAGGTTTTTCATAGGAATCACTGATCCCTCAACGGAAGCCTAGAGAGCACATCTGTTTTCCTCTAATGAGCAAGGGCCAAGATCAAAGTGGTGACTTCTGCATCCTGAATGGCAGGCAGAAGTGTAGCAGTGCCCTTGCACCTTTCCTGCCAGGTGCCTGACCAGTGGCTGGCCAGAAAAAGGCAAAGAGCTGAGGCAGCATTAAAAAGTATAGTTCATCCTTACTGCTTTTGGGTAACGAGGTGCACATCCCCCTGCGCACAACCCACTGAGTAAATCACACTGTATGATAGTGATGAAATTAAGGACCCCAAGTCTCTTCCTACAGACTTTAAATGGAACAGGATCAAATCTACAGTTTTCTGAAGAAGTGTCTGATAGATTTTTTTGGGTGTATACGCAGCCATGCTCATTGCAGCTAGAGAGAAGGATAGCTGATATGATTTGCTCTGTTTCATGTGTATGCGTATTAAAATAGCATTAACATTATGTGTGCATTAGGAAACTCACAACTGGGGCAGCAGTAGCTATTAGACACATACTACTACATTGCAATTAGGTTTTTTTAATATTTTTTAAACTAAAATGAAATAAAAATCTCATACAATTGACCTATTAATAAATACTGCTAGTTTGAATATATGAAGGAAAAATAGAAATAAGAAACAAGAAAAAATTCAGTTACTTGTAATAGAGACATAATATCACCTTTCATGAGTTTGCAATGTAGACTTTTCTGGTTAACACATTTGTGCTGTTGTGGTAGATGCCTTGATGATGACTGTTCTCTGTTGCTACGAATACAAAATGGAGGATTTGTAAACTTTACTTGGATAATGCCATGTTGATCATTGTACTTGGTGGTTTGATTCTTTTTCTATTGCTTTTTTTTTTTTTTTAACTTGCAGCATTTAAGTTACTGAACATGATTTGTTCTTATCTTTCTGTTACACAACATCTCCTTGCTAATTCAGAGCAAATCTTCAGGAGTAAGCACTGCAGTTTGCTACATACTAGGATGATCCAAAAAGTGCGTTTCAGAATCAAGGCAATACTCCTCAGAACCTAAGTATATTCAACAAAAAGGCCTCTGTATCTTTTAACAGAATAGTTAAATAGACTTGTGTATACAAATGGAGTTCAGTGTGGCTGGAGATATAAGACACCGGTGAATTGCAAACAGATGAAGTTTTTAGGTCAGCTCTACCACCCCTGCACTCCTATGTTTTGAAGATGTTCAGATTTTCAGTTTCAGCCCTGGTCTAGATGGTCACTAAAGCAATCTTAGTACAGTAGAAAGTATTCATAATTTTTATCTTATTTTTTTCATTATACTTGTGTAGCAGCTTTTTATCTTTTTAAATTGTATTTTGTGTTTGAGGCTTTTTTTCTGTTAAATCAGTTACTCTATTTTAATAATATAACCAAGAATTTTCCTATTATGCCTTCTTTATGAGATGGAAGTTCTCTTAGGAGCTCACTGAAACAAGTGTTTCTGTTCTAAAACAGTTGAAAACTGAATGTTTCTGATAACTCATCTCTGATTCAACAGTTATACACTTGCTCATTCCATTGATACTGGCGCAATTGTTCATGTGATGGAACAATTAACTTGTCAAAAGCTTCATCTTGTGAAACCCCAAACAGAGGAAACTTAACATTTACTTCTATTTGCCTTTCTGTGTATGTTAGAATAAATATGCACTGTAGTCACACTGCGAGAGGGAATAAACAGTTGTGCCAAGTGTCTTGGTTTTACAGGTGCTTTATTTCACAATGTTTGGCAGTATTTGGTGGAAGGAAAGGAGAAATAGATTTGAAAGTTCTGATCCTCAGAATAGCCAGTGGCTAACTAGCCACATGCATTTATTCTGTTTCCCTTGGGTTTTTTCACTTCTTTCCTATATACTTAAAATCATATCTGCATTTTATAGAGGTACAATAGGGGAAATCCTTGTTGATACTTTGTTCCTCTGGTGGAAGAGTTGAACAGGATGTAGAAACTATTTTGATTCAGCAAGAAATGGGGGAAGCAATGGTAAGCATTTCATATTTTGAAGAACTGGTATATTTCACTAAAATTTAGACATGGTCTTTAAGATTATAAATTTTTCTGGAGTATAAATAACCAGCAGATTTTGAAGTCTATATGGCAACATTTCTTCTAGTAGTATCTATCTATATTGACACTTAGAAGATAGGGAAAACTGATGACTAGTTTTTCCCAAGTTCCAATGACCTATTGAATTATCTTTTTCTGTCATGTTACTGCACGTGTAGTTTCATATGATGTTGACATCATTGGGCAGAAAGAAAAAAAAAATCTGTTCTAGGTAATGGAAAGTAGATATTTATTGTAATAAAAAAATAAACCTTCTGAAAAGAGGAATTGAGTATATAAGTATGAAATGATTGTATCTGGGTAAGGATAAGAATTCAGCTCACCTATAGCTATTGTTTATTAGCTAATTAGATCTTAATCACGCTTGTGGCATTATGGAAATCTACGTTCAATTTATGTAGAATGAGATCCTGAAATAGGAAAGAATGTACCTGGAGTTGACTATAAGATCATAAATATATTTGAAAAGTCCAGTCAACATTAGCTGAAATTTTATTTGGGGTCTGCTTGAATGGAAATTGATGTCCTGGGACCTCCACCTAGTACCATCTGAAACTAAGTTGATTTTGGACATTTCAGGTACTTCTGTGGTGCAAGTTACAGCTACTGATGCTGATGACCCTTCATATGGAAACAGTGCCAGAATCATTTACAGCATACTTCAGGGGCAGCCATATTTCTCTGTGGAACCAGAAACAGGTCAGAAACATTGTCATTATTTCCATTTACCATAAACTGTAAACTTTTTCTTTCATTTTAAAAATCTTATATCACCTTTTTTTTTTTTTTAAACTAATTGAAGTGTGAAATAATATTACTTACTTTTTTCCTCATAATTTATAACTCTTATAATGAATATAAAAACTTAGAATTCTTACAGCGGAGACTATGAAGCATAAGTAATTTTACAGTGGTGCTCTTGATAGCTTAAGGATCTAAGTAACTACATTTCTGACAAAGGAAAGAATAAAGGTTTGTCTCCTAGAAAATGTTGTTCTTTTTTTCCTAATGGTTCTACTTGGACTAATAAAAGGTGTGTCTACTTGTAAAACTTGTGTATAAACATCTTGAATCATTTTTATTATGAACTGTAAACTGGAAAGGAAGTTGTGATGTAGAACTAAGGTTTGTTCAACAAACAACCTGTATTCAAGACTATTTGTAAAGCTTATGAACAGAAATTTGTAATTTAAAGCATGAAATTGATACTTTAGAAATATACTTGACAGACATACAAAAAAGATGCAACAGATTGCTGCACATCAAAAATAAAGATATTATTAACAATTTTTGTTTTTTTTCTTTATGTATTTAAGGCATCATCAGGACTGCTTTGCCAAACATGAACAGAGAGAACAGGGAGCAGTACCAGGTAGTTATCCAAGCAAAGGACATGGGAGGCCAGATGGGTGGATTATCAGGGACCACCACCGTGAACATCACTTTGACTGATGTCAACGACAATCCACCTCGATTCCCCCAGAGTAAGCTGCATTTAATAGTTGCCTTGCACTGTAAAAGCTTCAAACTAAAGAGTTAAGCAATCACCATCTGGTTTAATTTAGAGTAAATCTAGATTATGGGGCACACATGAACAAAAGGCTTATGTACTGATTTATTCACTGTTATTAAAGCAGTATATTAAATGTTACAACATTTGTTTGTTAGGAAAATAGTTACATGGTCAAATATAACTGCAGCAAACCTAGAATACTTTCCAGTACTATGGGAGGGGGTGGTAGGTGGACTCCTAAGAGCATTAAAGCAATGTTTTTCTTTTCCCTTACCTATTGCTTAAATCCTACATACTCCCCCACTGGAAAATAAAACATGTAGCAATTCTACATATACAAAAATGTTTGAATTGTAGTATCTGCTTAAATATTTAATCATGAAAAAAGTGGAAAAGAAATTACTTGAAGGGAATTAAGCAGATTTGTACTTTTCCAGTTATAGTGCTACAGAACCTAATAGAGTATTTCCCAAAAAGTAAAGTAAATGCCATTTAACTTTTTTTTTAAAACGGCTTAAGTTTACCAAAGCTTTTTATAATGCTTTTTAACTTCTTATGGTACAGCTATCAAGACTTTGTACCCTCAAACTAAAATATGAAAACATTCTTGGTCTCTGTGTCATATGGAAATATTAAACCATGTAACATCAAACTTGTTAAAGGTTAAGCATTTTAAATGCATTTGAAGCCTTTTGCATATACTGAAGTTGTAATATTTGCAAGATAGTTTGGCCATACTTCATAGCTAAAGGATTTGGAATAACCTCACCATCCATTTTTTCATCAGTATAACTACTGAATCTAGTAGTTACTGATTATCACATTCAGGCTTAAACGAACACAACCAGCTTAAAATGATTCTGATTTTAACACGCTTTTCATGGTACAAATGGAGTACATAATTTCATTCAATTTATTATTGTAGTTAACATATACGTGGTTAGCCAAGACGTTTATTAGCATGTGATTTCACATACACAAAATAGAAAAAGCATGAACAACTGAGTACTTACAGTTTGTGCATTTCCACACAGGCCCTATTCTGGACAAAATTTATTTTTAATTTGTCATTTTATGTTCTTCATATTTCCACAACTCTTTGATATATTATTTTTGTTGTTTCCATTTGTATATAGAGGATTATGGTAATTCCAGTGTTGTGCAGGTGAGAAATGCTGTATTACCCCTCTCTGGAAGACTATTCAAAGAGGTGTTATGTTCAATATTTTATTGGAAAGATAATTTCAACAGCTAAATTTAAGGCAGCATATAAGCATCAAACATGCATATTTATGCTCTTCTGTTTTTTTCTTTTGTTTCTCAAACAGTATGTTAAATTAATACTTAGAATGATGGAATCAACTTTCTAGAACATTTTTACATGACTTATCTGGCAGTCCAACATCATGTTTGAGTCTAATGAGGACCTTACGTAGCATCCCAGAAACACCTCTGCTTTTTTTTGTTAGTGTACATCAGATGTGACATTTGCTTTAAAGAAAATTTTAGTTTAACTCTCATGGGTTTTTTTGTTGTTGTTGTTTTGTTTCATTTTTGTCTCTACTTTGTCTCTGCCAATAGCTTTGTTAGATATACATGTGTTTCACTGGAAACGAAAACTAAAACATTTATAAGGCTGACTCATTTTACTAGATATAAGAGAGTAAAAATAACTATTGACTTTTTAAAACATCTCTATATTTAGTTTCAAAAATCAAACAGACATTATAATGATTCCCGATTTTAATCAAGTTCAGTTTGGAATTGATACTGATTAAGTTAAATTATTCTTATTCTGTTCCATTAATAAAAACCAGATGTGTATTAGGTTCATGAAACAATCATATTCATATCAGATTTATAAATTACCAGGAAAAGTATTAAAAGATCCATTATGTTTTCACAGGGCTCAGCATACTACAGCTACATGTTTAAATAAAATGTTTCATAACAGATTAAACTTCTCCCATAAGGAACTCAGAATTGTGGAAAATTTTACATCTTTTATTTTGCCATACTTTCTAAAAAAAACCCAGAAGAACAATTAATTCCTCTGTTGCTTACTTTACAGAGCATAGACTCTTCAGGAAACTTTTCTCTTTTTAAAGTTCTGCTGAAAACCATATAGGTAGCGGTGGCTGTTCTTCTGAGGAAACATGATAAAATTTAAAATTATTTCAAGGTTCTGCACAGACAGGCCATCAAATACCTCAGATATTGGATCTCTGTTTCAACTAATATTTCCATGTGTTTTCAGAAGAAAGTAGATGGTGTCAACTAATGATAAATGGAAAAAGCGTTTTATGGAATTAGGAGCCTGAGTCTGACTGAAGATCGGTGCATCTGAGTTATGGCAGCCCATGTCTTCTGTGAGACTATAGACTGTATTACTCTAGAAAAAAATTTACCTTTACATTATGTGCTTATTCAAGAGTAAATGGGCAGAAGGGTAAACATGAGTAAGATTGGGTTTTCATTTTTATGACTGAAGTATTTCCAGACACAAGTATGTAGATTTTAACCTTCCATCTGATTTCCACTCTCCTTAGTATATGGAAAAGATTTTCCTTTCCTTGATCCTCCCATTTTTATTCCTGACAGGTAAATGGAAGAACATCACTCACCAGAGTAAATGCAAACAGTAAATTACTCTCCTTGAGGAAGAAGAGAAGTGAGAGAAAAAGGATAGACAGCAGAGTTTTGCAAGAACAATTCTAGTTTGGTGTAGTTTGTGTTTTGATACAGTGTCTAAAGCTGCACTGCATCGTATACTTAGTCAATGCATTAAATGTCTTCAGTGACAAAAATAATAAAACGAAGTGTCTCATACTATGGTTGAGATTTCTATAAATGGATATGTTAGGCATAAAATAATCTTTCAGATGACAGGTTTCTGGTTATTTTCACTCTCTCTTTCTACTACCTTACTAGCAATTCAAGATATGAGCTCTTACCACTTTGTAGACTAAATTAACAAGTTGGGTATTGCAGTTGGAGTCAAAGTAGTGTCCACAAGGAATAACTTGGGTATGTAGTTTTAAATACTCCAGAAAAAAAATGTGGAGAATAGTTGACACACCGTAAAACTAAATATAAGATATAAATATTAATTGAGAAAAAAGTAGTGTTTTACCATAGTCTCACATACTACTAAATAAATACTAAATGGGAGCAGAGGCTATTTTTTCTTCTGTTTGTTTTTTTTTTTTTTTAACCATTAGGCGATTACAGAGAGATTATATACTAACGTAGCAAAGTACACAGATTTAGGTATTAGAGAAAGGTAATGAAAATGTCAGAGCAAATGCAAGATAAATCATTCGATGGAAACAGTAAAATGTAACTGAGCAAAAATCAATTCATATAAATAGAATATGGACTGTATATGGCCACAAAGTATTAATTCCGCTGCTGCATATCTGTTTCATATCAAAAGCTACCTAAGTAAAAATATATGAAGAAATTAAATTTCAATATTTTTCATTCAATATTAAATTACAAACTATATGTGTATGTGTTTATTTTTTTGAATTTTTGCTTCTTTTTTTTTTTTTTAGGTTTGCCAAACTATAAAATAATGGAACAGAAAAAGCTAGTTCTGTAGGATGAGAGAAACTCTCAAATCTCTCAATGAATAATAAGGGTTTTTTTCAGTGAGTGTTCCCAAAACCAAAATTGGTTCCTTTGTTACTCTTTAGCTGGCTTGTAATGTACTCTATTAAGCAACACTGATAATCCTCACATGACTCACCTATGCTTTCTGATGATATGAAAAGATCAGATTGCCAGTGGTCTTCCCCTACTGCCTTGCCACTGCTCACTCCCCACAATTCTTCCTGATCGCACAAAACTAATAACCCCCTTTATGGACTTTTCTGTACTTCTTATTTGTACTAAGGTATATATGTGCTGCCTTTTGGGTAGCCTGTTCAACTTTTTCCTGTTGTGGTTGCTGGCCTTTTCCACTTTGCTTTTGTGTTACTGTTAACTGAACTATCTTTCTAACTCGCTTTACTTTGCTTGGGAAGTCTCTAAGTAAAACAGCAAATCTTGGAACACTTAACTAAGGTTAGAGAAGAAAATGTTTTTCTGTAGATCTTTGATGACAGCTTTCATCTTTGGAATGACAGCTGTATCTGCATTCATTTTAAAATCTTCTTCTGAGAACAGAGGTCTCAACCTTTATTTACAGTTTGCACAGTAAGGCTCAAACAGAGAATACTAAAATGTATAGTAAAATATTTATTTCAGTTTATTGCAGCATGTTTGAATGATGACACTTTTATTCCTACGTTTTTTATCAGCTATATGACACCACAATAAAGGGATACGACTGAGCTAGAGAAAGTAGCACAAAACCAAAATTGCAATGTTCATAAGCCTTATTAAGTATAAATTAACTGCTTTAACAAGCATAGGCACTCCTTCTGCTTGTGGATTTTCAAAAACCTATGCCTGCATTAAGATGTCATTCAATTTAATTTAACATTGTGCCTGACTATCTGATTTTGAAAGCTGAAATTGCTTAGAATTGGCCAGTAAAGTGAGGGGGTTCTGTTCTTTGTATTGCTTCCAGAATAAAGTAGACATAAAATGTATCCCAAAACATTCACCTTAGATATTTAAGGGAAAAAAATACAGTGTGCCTGTGTGCCTGTGCACAGAACAGTCTTTCCAGATGATGTTTCAGGAACGACATAGACAAGAAAAGTACAGACATAGTTGATTCTTCTCTGAGACAGGAGAAAAAAGGTCCTTTTCAAACCTATTTTTCTATGATTGTTTTTTCACTGATTTGGGGTTTTTACGATTCTGTTTTTGATCTTCTACCTAAAGTTTTCCCCTGCATAGTTCTCTGCCTCACATTTTGCCCATCCTCCCAGAATAAAATGGCTAGTTTTAGAGAATAAAAGATACACAAAAATATGTAATCAGCTATTGTGTGACACAATGTTATTTAATGCATGTGTAATGGCTTACCGGGCTCACGAGTGGCTTTTTGTCTCTTTGACAGGTACCATTCATCTCCGCATTCCTGAGTCCTCCCCAGTTGGGACAGCCATTGGCAGTGTCAAAGCCACAGATGCAGACACTGGAAAAAATGCAGAAGTAGAATACAGAATTATAGATGGCGACGGGACAGATATGTTTGATATTGTGACGCAGAAGGACACACAGGAAGGCATCATAACTGTGCGAAAGGTGTCTATTAACAACATCCACTAAATGGTTTTGCTGTCAATGCTATGCCACAAATGTTCATTGGAATAAAGTGCTTAGGTCATGTGACACCGTGTTCTAACTCCTTAACACTTGCGAGCATCCTCAATCAGTGACTGAGCGGTACTATTTCGTTTTAAGATGAACTGGAAATAAGAGTTGGTAACAATATCTGAGATGCAGCATAAGTTTAAAGCCTTATTGCCAGCAAAGTATGTAAAAAATGGACCATCCCCAACGTGTTAGTACTAATTATCTCTGTGATTTCCAATGCAGACTTCTTTAGCATTCTTGTAATCTATTTTCTTTAGCGAGCAATATGCAGTTCACTCCCTATTGAGAGACATAGATTTCCGTTATCTAGAAGGTTCTCATCAATTTAGGTGACCAGTGTATGCCAGAACACAAACACGTTCACAGAAGATGAGTTGCAAGCTGTATTGTTTTGTCCCTGTTTCCAACACATCAGCTGGTTCACAAATGAGCAGAGAATAATGATGGTGTCCCTGTTTCAGAGCTAGCTTTAGTTCTGCCCTCTGTCTTGCATATCAGAGCACTTTAGAAATGTAAGTTCTTACTCTTAGAAACACCATTCTCCTGCTTCTCAACAATTTCCCTCACAAAAGTCCCTCAGTCCTTTTCTTTGGGTTTTTGAGATGTGTTTCTAAGGAGTTCAGGCAGCTTTTCTGGCATAAAGTGACGTTTGTATTAGCTTTTAAAACTTAAGCATAGAGTAATGAATTAAACACTACTATAAAATGCATCTCCACATCCCTTGGTAATGGCAACCAAGGAAAAGATAAGTTCTGCAAAGACCAGAATGTGTTCCTTTTTAATCTCTATGTTCTATGTTCATAGTCAGCATTGAGGTTTGGCTGGGAAGGAACGAAAATACAAACTTTGGGACCCAATATTTTTCCTTTTCCTAGAAGTTTGTGAAGGCTTCTCTTGAGATGCTCCTTTCTTGCTTGCTTCAGATTTTTCACACAGGCTGCTATTATATTAAATTAATACAGTCTTGAAAAAATAGTCTAATAACTGGATCAAGGATAAAAAATTCTTAAGCTATAACACAGCAGCTCCAAAAATGTCACCAATAAATGCTAATGAACAACATCTTCTCATTTTGTCATTAGCAATCTAACACATTTTGCTTTTTTCAGGATGCTTTCTCATATTGATAAATAAGTAGCTTATACGGATAGCAGACAACAGCATTAACTAGCAAGGAAGAAGATATGCTCAGTTTGTTCATGTGTGAAAATATTTGTTCATGTATGAAAATATTCTTTATTTTTTTATTATTTAGCCACATTGATTGTCATTTCTGTTTTCAGTAGTGAATAACTACAAATAGCTGATGTTCCTTTACTGAGCCCTTAATAAGTCTGAATTTAATACTTGCTGCAAAAGAACTCTTTCTATGCAAGTTTTTCTATACTTGTTCTCAGACAAAATAATTGCTTTGCCAAAATTCCATCTATTTGGGCAGCAGCTTTGTTCATTACTGCTGATATGCTGGAATACCTGTATAATCCACACGTTTTATATCCATGTTTTGCAGCATAGTCTGAAGACATATCCAAACTGGATGTGAATGTACTAGAAGAAAGTTAACTACATCTGTGTGACGCACCTTTGGGCAAATTAAGCCAGCTAATTAGAATAAAGCAGGATTAACATAGCTTTTTTGCTTCTAGGCTTGAAGCCAGCATCCCTTAACAGCAGAATGCTGCACTTCAGAGGCACACCGGTAGTCTCAGATCTAGCTCAAGTTTTGAGCATCTAGCTCAAATCTAGCTCTAGCACTGTGTTGCATTTCTCAATTATATTTATAGATATCCTTCCTTCTCCTCTGCTTTTTTTTAAACAAGTTTGGTGCAGTGGGGAAAACTCATTCTTTTACTGGACTGCATTTTTCTGCTCTTAAATAGAATATTTAAATTTCTGGCATCTTTCATGAACATTAATTTGTAGTTAAAAGCAGTTAGGCAGAAAAAAAAAAGTCTTCTACCACCCATTTTGATGAATGAAAACCACCGGTTTGATATCTCCCTGAGATTTTGGGGGAGTTAATGAAATCTTCTTTGTGTCAGAAAGCTAAATTCTCAGCTTGTTCATTTCCTTAATATCATTAATTAGCTAACACTTTTCTTCTATGACAGTTAGAAAAATTTGAAGAAATAGAGGTTCTTTTCTATCCAAAATGGTTTCTAATTATAACCCTGGACCATTCCTCCTTTCATTTTGAAAAGGAACTGCTGACAAAAATGTCAAATCTCTGATGTTGGATTCATTAAATTAAATGAAAAAGAACAAGATTAAGCTCTTACTGTTTCACTAGATATAGAGAACTTTTACACACACACCCTCCTTAAAAGAAACCAAAAACATCCCTGATATTTAAGGCCAGCTATGTTTCTTTGACAATAAAGGTACTCAGGCTATTTTGAGTATCCAAGAGTTTATAGTATTTCCTGAGAAATACTACTATTAAGTACCTTGTTCTGAAATGTCAGTATTTCAAGTCTGTATTTCAAGTATTGTAAATGCTTATGTGATCGTTTTAAATCCGTATTCTTTGAAAGAGTTGCAAAATTCACTAAATAATTCGTAAATTTACACTGAGAAACATTTGCTTATTGGTGCTATGATAATTCAAATAATATTTAGGAAGATAAACTTCCTCTAGAAACAATGAAAATTTCTTACTAGAGAAAGTGATCTTTATGCTGTGGAAAATTTGAACTGTATTGCGGTTCCCCAACCCAGGGCAAGATCTGACAAGGCTTGAGTCCTCTTCGGTTTCCATTAGGTGCATAGGTCAACATCTGTCAATATGTAATGTAATTTAATAAACTTTATCATCATCTTTATTTTTAGCCACTGGACTATGAGACGAGACGACTTTACACCTTGAAAGTAGAAGCTGAGAATACCCATGTGGATCCACGCTTTTATTATCTCGGGCCTTTTAAGGATACAACCATAGTGAAAATCTCTGTAGAAGATGTAGATGAACCTCCTATCTTCAGCAGATCATCTTACCTTTTTGAGGTGCATGAAGATATTGAGTTGGGGACAATAATAGGTACAGTAATGGCACGGGATCCTGATTCGGCCTCAAGTCCAATAAGGTAATACTCCACTCTGTAAACACATCACTTGCTAAAGGTATTAAGAGAAACAGTAATGCAACATGAATTTTGACGTGAACATTGTGCACAGGAAAAAGATGCTAATGTTTTTTTCTGTTATTTATTAGTGTTCCAGAGACAGAAAGAATTGAGAATGGTGCTGTCCATAAGCCTCCTAACACCTCAGGGAATAGCCATTCACTTGCACACAAGAGAAGACATATGAAATGTTTTCTATACTTCAAATCTCAAAAAACTTATAAAATTACACATTGATTTCAAGTAGGTTCTTAAGGACTACTTCTTGCTTCACACTGTGAAAAAATGCCAAACCCATCTGTGGCCCAGGAAGTGCACATAGCTTTCTAATGCTTCCTTGGGGCAGTCCTGGAATGTATGCAGTGCTCATCTCACCTGCTCTGGTTGGTGCTTCCTGCTTTGTAGGTTTGTCAGTGATTGCTATACAGGATAAAATTATTTTTGTGTGTGCTTAAATAACCCAAGGAATTAGACATTGAAAGATTAATATCTTTAAAAATCTTTCCTATGTATACTATTAGATCCTACACACTACAAGACATATAACTGAATGCAGTAAACGATATCTTGGTGTGGGTTGGTGGGTTTTTTGGTTTATTTTTCTATAACAAGCTTTAAAATAAACAGGTAAGATGATGTCTAAGTTGTGTCCAAGATGTGTGTTGTCTGAAATACCGAACAAAGTGCAAAAGTCATATTCCAGCAAAAGAACCTTATTTACTGACTTTGAAGTCAATTGCCACATACTTCTTAATGAGGTCCAGGTGGTAAAACTGGATTACGAAATGAAACTGAATCTAACTTTCTCCTACGGTGATTTGTGTGTATGGAAAAGATAAGACATAACTCCAAGCCCCTAAAATTTAAGAATATATAAATAACTTAGCATTATATCTTTTATACACTCTAATTGCATGACACAACTGACAATTTTAGTAGTTATATTTTCTTAATTGTGACTGGAAAAAGAACAAAAAAATGAGCTTTGGCACATTTTGTTTCTGACACAACCTGATGAATTGAAGAACTGTGGCAGGTATTTCCCGCATCACTGTTATTTATAGAGAGTAGCAAAATAAAGATTATTTTATATATTTTTTCTATGTTCTGTTCATGTTTTTTTCATTCTCCCATAGAAAATAATTTAGAAGAGGCATATGGAGCAAACCAATAGGGCAAAGAAATTTCTAAAATTTCAAACATACTATTGAATCTAGATTTAGTTCTCTTGAAGAAAAATGTCAAAGATATATGTGAAAATGCTCTTCATAGTACAGTCATTCCCTTTAGCTTTCATTTAATGCTATCTAGTTGAAGACAAGACCTTTGAAACAATTTACATTGGATAGACTGAATTCCATTTAGTATTTGCTCTGTTCCTCAGCTTCTAAAACAACCTTGTATATTAGTTCGAACAACTACCTAGAATAAGTTTTTACAAGATTTTACTTCTTACAATATCAATATTAAATACAAAGTACTATGCCTTTACCCCAGAAGTGAAAAGCTAACATTTAAACTAAAGTATTTTGAAAGTTGTCATACTTTGAAATTAGAGCAGTTTGTATATTTTAATACTACTATTAAAAAAAAAAACTTACAGCTTCAGATTGTAGAATTTATTCAGTTCTTATTTATTTTCTGTTTAGTTGTTTATTTTAAAACATTAGTTTCTGTTTATTAAAATTCTATATAAGTTCAACTTCCTATAAATTGAGTGCCAATAGCTTCCTGTTGCACTAATTTCTCTTTCTGTTCAGTGAATATCTTCTGAAAATAATAATTTTGGTAGCATTTTCAGGCCATTAGAAGTAATATGATGGGGTAAAAGTACGTGATTATCTCATGGCTATTATCAAATGGTATGGAATTTTTACTGAAAGAATGTAGAATAGGTCTCATTAGCTAGCAAAGTGATTATTGTCTATTGAAAACTGTTAACTAGAGTGCTGTCAAAATAAGATCTTTTCCTCATTAAAACTTCTTCCATGGATGAAGTAAAATAAAATGCTTATCATATAGGCCAAAAAGTTTTAAATATAGTTTCTCTGAAAAATAACAGATTTTTGTTTAATTCTAACTAACAGTTATTACAGTCAACTAGTAGTAAAAAAAAAAATTGAGCAAGTCTTTCCTTCACTTTCAGAAGTCTTTTTGGTTGTTTTAATTTCCTTTTGTTTTTTGTGTTTGGGGTTTTTTTATTCCTTTTGGTGTTGGCTTGTTTGTTGGGGTTTTGTTTGTTTGTTTGTTTTACATATTTATGTCATTGTGTGTGGTAGAGTGAACAAGCAAAACCCACCAAAATGCTATAGATGTTATTTTCATATTGCAGTATTTATTCATTTGGCTCAATTTAGTTAAGTACTGTAAGTAAAAACAGATACACTTGATGAACTGTTTAGATCACTCATAAAAATTCATAGAAACATGAACAATTGTTTCTATTGCACTGTACAAGTGTACAAGCAGACTTCTCTTTTTAATTTGGCCCAATTCTGCCAGGTTGTTAGATATATGTTCTGTACTTCACAAAATCCTACATTTAATTCCACATCAAAGGTTCAATCCTAACTTTGAAGGCAGTGTTAAATATTAGAAAAAATGGAGGAAAGAGCAATTTTCTGGTTCTAGTTTGACATTCTGCCATATTGTGTTAGTAGAAGTTTTGCCTGCAGAAATATAGCAACTATAGCAACATAGATGGTCCTTTAATATCAATGTATTCATGAAAGTGAAAATTCTGCATGCAAACATATTTTTATAGAGATTTTTTTTAAAACTTGATCTCTAGTAAATTAATATATCCTAAAATATAGAAGCTGAGCTTATAAAAATACTTTTGAAAAGCTCATAAATTAGCTGTCAGTCTCAGTCTGAAGGAACAGTACATCAAAGACAATTTTCCTTTTAGGATTAAAACAATTCTTTAATCATCATGTTGAAATTCTGACTTATTTTTTATAATTCTTATAGATGTCTATAAAAGCTTAGATGATCAAATATTATTACACTGTTGTATCATATTTATGCAATTCTTGCAATTTTTATTCCTCATTCTATGGAATTAACCTTGAGAATTTTGTTAAGTTTTTACAGAAACTAAATATATGTCTTCTCAAAACTAACCTTTGTAATGTAATGTATAGAATGTAAAATCTTTATTGACTTGTTGTGAAACATATGCTTTCTTCCATTTTCTATCATTTTGACAATACTTTTTCTTTCTTTATAATATTTAGGTTTTCCCTAGATCGTCACACTGACCTTGACAGGATATTTAATATTCATTCTGGAAATGGATCCATCTATACTTCTAAACCACTTGACCGTGAGATATCTCAATGGCACAATCTTAGCGTTATAGCAGCTGAGATCAGTAAGCTGATTTGGTCTCTCTTTCCTTTCAGTTTTCCTTAGCCTGCAAAGTTCCAGCTGGGACTTCATGAGAGAAAAGTTCTCTTCTTTCCCCCCTGCCCTATTCTATAAGATATTTTGGGAAAGTAAGTTGGGGGTAGCTAAGAGCAGCCGCTTCCTCATTGTTTTTTGCTCAGCTACTTACACCACTGACCTTTAATGTCCCAGTTACTTCTGCTATGTTACCCAATTAAATAATAACACTGGAGTAATTCTGTTTTCTTCCTTTTCTTTGAGAAAAATTGCATGATTTAGCACATTAAAGTAGCAGAGTTCAGGATGGTAATCTATGTTTTTGTCTCTATTGTTTTCTTCATTTCCTTAGAAATAATTTCATTGTCTCTTCCTATGGTAACTACACCTACAGCTCTTGGAATCAATACATCTTACAAGCTAGGTTCAATTTGATCCCTAAGCTGTAACATTTTTTAGACTATTTAAATCAGCTCCGTAGATATTTTCATGTTGAAAGTACAAAGAAGAAAGCAGAGCTCCTCTTAAACGTGCTACAATATTGAGATTAACTCTAATCGCCTGACAGAAAATTTTCTAAGGGTCAACAGTCTGATCTTTGAAATCAGCTGGTGAGGATCACTTGCTTTCAAAGACACTGATTTTTTAGGGTTAATTCTATATTAGTCAGAATAAAAGAAAAAAATGCTGATCAGCAGTGAAACATGGCTGGCAAGAACTACACTGCAGAGAACTACAAGGAACACTGTGTCCAGCCAATTAACCACTCTGAGCCTGCCTGTCCCCATTTCTGTAGTCCAGAGTAATAGGCTGGTTGTATTGAGCATGCCTGGTAGATGTACATTTTTTTAAAACCTTCCTTTTTCCCTTGAGATGCATGATCCTGAATTTACAGTCCTTCACAGTGCTGTCCAATGTTGTAAGAATGCTTTTCAGAAGTATTTATATAAAGAAAAAACTTAGTAACCTTGTATGCTTGTATCATAGCACTAAACTTATTTCTTTGTCAGGATACTTTGAGCAAATTTACATTCTAGACCTAGTTGCAGTAGGTAGCATTCTCCAAAGAGGTACATTAGTGTGGAGAAAGAAGTGAAGAGAGAGATTTAGGTCTTTAAAACTTTAAAAATATTACCTGTGAAGCATAACTCAATGGGAAAGCAGTATGAAAGTATGAAAGAACAGAAAATACTTGGAAAGTGAGTACAAAAATGCAAAAGGCCATGAAAAACAATGCCCTAAACCTGCCATTTTGAACAATTCAGGATGTCAAGATCCACATCTCACTCTTTAGCAAACATGTTATTAACAATAAGTGAACTTAATGCCAGCTACTCCTAAATGTTTACGGTTTTATTTTAAGAAGCTTAAAAATAAATAAAATAATAAAAAAAACCCACAAAACCACGTAGTTTTGAATCATCTCTATCATTAATTATCCTGTTCTATTAAAGTTGCAAAATCATATAGCTACCTTCTAGCAGAATTCCAATAAATGGCTGCACTTTTTTACTCCCAGGCATTATTTCAGATTCTTGGTATAGCAACTAGATCAGCAAGTGAGAACAGAGACTCTTGTATTCCTGAATTAACCTATACTAATGAGAGGGCACTCTAAATAATACTATGCACAAAATCAATAATGTGTTTTCTGGATAAAACAAAACAGATCACAAATAAATTTAAAATTTTAAAAAAACCCAAACTTATAGCAGAACAATACTCTTGAGCCTACCCAATAATGAAATTTGTCATTATAGTAGTGGGCATACTTTTCATATACTATATTTACATAAATTATTAACAATTGGAACCCCTATTTTTGTGAAAAATCTTACTTGCTCACTAAATACCAATACTTTAACTTATTTTTTACTCTAAGCAAAATTTCTCCTTATTTTTCAGAAGGCCTGATTCTTACCTGGTATCAGTTTGTATGTTAAATTTTGGCCAGTTTCATACCTAATCTTGCATGTCTATTGCTCATGAAATTTGGAGGAAAAAAGAAAACTTTTACTTGGAAAATAAATTCATTATTCTTCTCTCTTCTCCTGTCAGACAATCCTAAAGATACTACCCGTGTTCCTGTCTACGTAAGAATTTTGGATGTTAATGACAATGCCCCACAGTTTGCTGTATTCTACGATACTTTTGTCTGTGAAAATGCAAGAGCTGGACAGGTATGCCGTTGATAAACACTATCCAGTTTTGCTATGGTACTCAACTGTTTATCATTGCCTGTTGCTTGGGAGAAATCATGTCCGAAATAGCTTTTGAAATGTTAAAAATGAAAGCAAAGTAGGTCTGTAGGTGAGGCTCAGAGTGAAATATCAATATATTACAACAGCATCAGTGTGGGAATTATGACTTTTCTTTTCCAGCCCTGTACTACTGTTACATCCTGACTAGATATGTCCAAAGACATGGTCATAATTAGTTTTACCATTATTTTCACATAGTAAAATGTTATATGTAACTACTAAGACATTTGATCTATATTTTCAAAAACTGCCAAATAGCAAAACTCAGATATATTTCAATCCATGTGGATGGTGGTGATTACAGGCATCTACAGCTGTCATAGCCTTTTTTTTTTTTTTTTTTGTGATTGTTAGACTTTTATTATTGCACAAAAAAATTTTGCAAAGAAAATATAAAACATACATTTTTTTAACTGGTAACCTAATCTTTTTTTTTTTCCCTCTTAGACGCTACAGAATATGTATTTCTGTTTAAGTGAAATGACTGGCTAATAGGCAGCTGCTTATTAGAACTGTTTAAAAAATATTTTCTTATTACAGCACAGCATATCTCAGAGCACAGTCAGCCAATAATAAATCCTTTAAAATGGTAGCAGTACTTCGTCAGTGAAATCATGTTAGCACCTTTGAATAGAATGTGGGAGAAGTGCCACCTTGTCTTAGCTGTTTGAGTCCCATCGTATGGTATTCAGGTTCTATTAGAAATTTCACATTCAGGTTAACATTCTTCTTTCTAAAGTAACATCAGTTGGAAATTAGTACAGAGGATTTAAGCCCCAAATTCATAATGCATAAAATATCTAATGGTACTGAGCAATGGCATTTGTCTGCTACAAGAGTTATAAAATAATTCAAGCTGTTAGATAAATAGAAGTCACTGGCTAAACATACAGAATTCTTCTCAGTTGCAGTGTCTTCTATAAATGTTAAAATAATATTTTAATCACTTTCAATATGAGATATGGATTAAGAATAGGAAAAGTAGAACACTGAATTTTCCTCTTCCAGTTTCACAAAAAAGAAAATCCCATGTAAAAAAACCCCAAAACTAATGCTTTAATCCACCAATCTTACTCTGTTTGAGGTTTTAGAATCTATTTCATCCAGGTTACTAACTATAGAGGGTACAGGAAATGCTTAAGAGAACAGTTATGTTTTCATGTAAAAATATTTTGAAGATCTTTATTTTTCTGAGCTATCTAGAATATTAAGGTTAGTATAATTTAAAAGTAAACATAAAAGTTATTTCTGCACTACACTGTTTTTCTGTTCGTGTTCAGAAAAGGCTGCCAGATAAAAAGTTGAAAAAAACCCACATTAATCATTTATAACTAATATGTGAGAAGTGAACCTATCCATAAACGCTTATTTAAATTATTATAGAGCTCAGTAGTGTCTCCTCTATCAGAAAAAAAGTGCCAAGTTTGCTAAAAAGACTATAAATATAAACATTTTTTTAAAAAAATCTGAGTTGCAAATGATTGTTTAAAGAAAACAATTCACAGAAAGAGAAAAAATATTCAATGCAGGATAACATGAATAATCTATTTGAATGTAATTATATTCTTCTTGCTTACTGGTAGATCATAAGACTTTTTATTATGGAATTCACTCCATCCTGAGAGATTGAATCTAATCAATCCATACTGAACACGGTTCTCTAAGTTTGGTTCCTCCCACATTTATGCTATTTTTCTTCCCTTTCAAGTTTTCGTAATTACCTTTGATCCACGATCAAATTTAAATCTTCTGTTATATCACTGAAACTATTAGGATACTTCATCAGTCATGAATTCTGTGGTATTCATTTAAGTATTTCCTATCTCCTACTAACAAACATTTTAACGAATATTATAGTTTTTCAGTTTCTTTATTTTCCCTCAAAATTTCTATTTACTTAATTTATATAGAAGTATATATAAAATAGACATATACACATACATGCACACATATATATGTACACACACTACATATATATAAAATATATATTTGTAAGTGTGTATATGTATATATACATATAGATACACACAAATATATGCATATATAGCGAGAGAGAGAGGGAGAGTATTTTTTATGAAATGCAGTTTTTGGAGTCTGAGTGACTCAATGGGCCCGTGATTGTTTTCCTGCTTGCTGTTACTGCTGATGTCAGATCACACCATGACCTTCCAAACAATGGGAATACTCTGTTCCAAAAAGCTCAAGCTACAAACAAGGAACCCCTGTGGCAGAATGCCATTTTGATGGTTGTTCTTCTTTCGACCACCCCAAAAATGAGGGCAATCTTGGTGCGATGGCATAAAGGGGACAGAGGCATTCATGTGAGCTGTACAAGGCTGAGTCAGTAGGAGGTGAGTGGAAGAAAGGAGAGAAATGCTCGGCGTGCTGCAGCCCTGTACACAAAGAATTTCAGCTGTCCTCCACACCCAGGCGAGAGGAGCTGGGAGCTGGACATCTGGGCTGATGGGTTCCCACTGGTTTTGTCAGTTCCCAGCTGCCACAGGTCTGGCAGCTCAGCAGCCAGCCTCTGAAGATCCTCTGATGTAGAACACGGACTAACATCCTTGGCTTCCCTGCCGTTGTTACTGCTTTGTGGCATTGCTAGCAAGGAGAAGCAACTTACTGTGGGTCTAATAGCGGTATCCCACAGCTGATTGGTCTAAGAGGAAAACAACACTGTATTAAACCATGTGTAAAACAGGATATAACACATTAATATAGTCACCCATGCCGTCAGCAAATAGTATGCAATATAATGTTTGCAACTTCTGTTTATTTGCTTTTTTTTTTTTTAATGTAAACCAAAAGCATTCCCCCTGACCTGTCCCATGTGAGTCAGAACAAAGAAGGACTAACAGTAACTTCTGCACTTGAACACATTGCCTGGAGAAATGGAATAAGAACTAGGCTTGCCTCTTGTTAAAACTCCAACATTAAATAAGTTTGTGCAGGTATCATATACATACTGGTATATGTTACATCATATAAGAACCCCCTTAGATTATGACTACTGTTTTGTGTCAGTACAATTGCCAATATAGCTGCTGTAGCTGTGAAGGCTATGGAAAATAATTTTATGGCAATTCCAGGGAAACAAAAGATTTCCTAGATATCTATTTTTTGGAACAGTATTGATACCTTCTAAACTTCTTTGTAAAAACAGATATTTCCTGAGAGTCTGTCACTTTCTAAAAGTCTAGTTTGTTAAATTAGTTTCTCATAGGAAGGCAGAGGGACAGTAGAAGTTAATCATCATGTTTACTTCCTCCTCCAAAGGGTCCCTTATAACTAAACTTAAGTACTTCATTCCTGGATAGTTACTGCTGCATGTTTAACTACATTTTGAAAAACAGTACAAACCAGTATAGACAAATTTAAGAAACTGAGGACTAAAACCTTTGATGATTAGTATTAATCAGTTTTAGTAAGAAATAACAAACATGGGCATTAAGATTAGCAGATATTCTGCAACACCGATTGTCTATATTTACAATGTAACACTGGGTGGTAGATGATCTTAAGGCAGAGTTTCCTCTCTGCCATTTCAGTTCCTCTCAATTGTAGGTTTATATTTGAAAGCCACTGAGAAAGGGAAAAGGCTACTAATGTACATGTTGATTATGAATAAAGAGGCATACCCAGTAAGAAATGTTTCTTTTTTCTTCAATTGGATTTGCATATATTTAAGGGACTCTAAGTAGTTACCCTGCCATCAATTACTGCCTGGTCAGACAGGAGATGATGAGTACTTGCTCTATTGGAATGTGTACATGGCCTCATTTGAAAATGAGCTAGTATGGCACTTCCAGCGTGGATTTCCAGTAATAACCTCATTTGCAAAAAAAAAAAATTATAAGTATTTTGAAAGTTTAGTTTCTAATTGAAAAAAGCAAAGCAAATAATGCTTTTCTTCGTGATGTATTTTACAATTCAATTTAGAAGTGCTGTAAACGTGACAATGTATCTAAACACATTGTTTCACTAAGATCACCCTTAAAACTTTGCCTTTTAAAGAAACTTGTCAGCAAGTCAAGAAACTGCATAATATTTAGTCAGCCAAATTTCTGAATTATCCTTACATTTTAATACCTAAATGATGCTTCCAACAAAAAAAAAAACCAAGCAATTTTAGGGTTTTTTATTCCTAATGTAAGCAAATTAGCTGAATTTGTTTGCAAAATGTATCATAAGGTTAAATGTGATCAGTATTTGCACAGGGAAGTTCCCAGAGAACTTCAATTGATACAACAAATGATGAAAGGGGGAATTAATAAGAGATCTTTTCTTGTTGTCTGTTCTGCTGAAGAACACTGGTCAGTAGTGCTGTAGTAGGTGAATAATCCCTGTAAACCATAAAAGATTTTAGGCTGTAAAAAATTCTGCCTACTGCTTTTAAACTAAGTACAGACACTGAGAAGTGGAGGAGTTAGTTTTCATCAGCTTAACACCAATATATGACTACATTCATGGTCTCCAATTGCAAAGTAAAATGGGCTAGTGTTTTCTTGACTTAATTTTGCAAAAGCCTCTAAAGATTTATTTGTTAGTTACTCAATAACTAATTAAAAGCTTAACTCTTTAGAAACAAGTAATATTCTATGTTTGTATTATGTTTTGTTTATCTAGTAAGTTATTGGAGGTTTATGTGAGGAAACAAATTTAGAGAAAGCCGAAACTCCAGTTGAGAAAGCAAGCGAGCTCCTGCATTAAGAGAAATCCAGTCCTGGCCACATGAAGAAATTTGTTACTGTATTCTGGATGGACACGAGAGAAGTTGCGTTTGTTAAAGCAAACAGGAGTACATTGCAATTATTGATGTTAAAGGTGATCAGTCCTGACAAAAGCTGTGATATGAAGAGAAATTGCTGTATTTGGATGAACTGGAAGAGGAAAACCAAAAAGTGTTTAACAAGTATGCCACAGGGAAGTAGTGTCAAAAATTAGATGTAATTCCATGCTTGAAAAAACACTGCAATTTAAAATGATGAATCAGAAATGAAGAACAAAAATGACATAGGCTAAAGATTAACCTATTTTCGGAAGTTAAACTTAAGAGCATAACTGAACATTCACGCATGCATGCACAAAAAATTGGCCATAGGTACAGTTTTTATTGCTACAGTATAAAAAAAAAGTACTCTGAAATAAAGCAATAAATATGTCAAAAATTATATTTTGTTTGGAAAATGACATTTTGCCACCCCTAGGTATAAAAACTTCATAGAAAAAAAAGCCACACATGGATTTACCTGACAGATAAGCAAATGTTGATAAAGGGCTTGCCATTACTTTCCCCCAAAATACCCAAACATTTTTGTAGGCATTGCAGAAAGCACTCAACATAAGTATTGAACTGACCTGATGCAGCTTACTGGGAGAATTGTGACACCAGGTTCTCATCCCATTCTGAGGTTGCCCATCTGTAGAATGTGCTACAATGTTTTGCAAGTGTTGTAATATATATACAATCTAACTGGCATTTTTCATCTCAGGAATCTTATTGGTGCATTTTGTTGTACCAATAAATAAAAAAATCTTGTTTTAGAAACTTAGGTTTTCATTTTGAAATATAATTTCAAACTTTAACTTCCCTTCGCTGGGTGAAAAACTGGCTGGATGGCCAGGCCCAAAGAGTTGTGGTGAATGGAGTTAAATACAGCTGGTGGCTGGTCTCAAGTGGTGTTCCCCAGGACTCAGTATTGGGGTCAGTTCTCTTTAATATCTTTAATATCTTTATCAATGATCTGGACGAGGGGATCGAGTACACACTCGGTAAGTTTGCAGATGACACCAGGTTGGGCAGGAGTGTTGATCTGCTTGAGGGTAGGAAGGGTCTGTAGAGGCTGAATGGACAGGCTGAATGGGTAGGCCAAGGCCAATGGTGTGAGGTTCAACAAGGCCAAGTGGCAGGTCCTGCACTTGGGTCACAACAACGCCATGCAATGCTACAGGCATGGGGAACAGTGGCTGGAAAGCTGCCCCGGCAGAAAAGGACCTGGGGGTGTTGGTCGACAGCAAGCTGAATATGAGCTGGCAGCATGTCCCAGTGGCCAGGAAGACCAATAACATCCTGGTTTGTATCAGAAATAGTGTGCTCAGCAGGACTAGGAAAGTGGTCGTCCCCCCGCACTCGGCATTGGTGAGGCCTCACCTCAAATACTGTGTTCAGTTTTGGGCCCCTCACTACAAGAAAGACAATGAGATTCTGGAGCGTGTTCAGAGAAGGGCAACGAAGCTGGTGAAGGGTTTAGACAACAAGTCTTATGAGGAACAGCTGAGGGAACTGGGGTTGTTTAGCCTGGAGAAAAGGAGTCTCAAGGGAGACTCACTACAACTACCTGAAAGGAGGTTGTAGCAAGGTGGGGGTCAGTCTCTTCTCCCAAGTAACAAGCGATAGGACAAGAGGAAATGGCCTCAAGTTGCACCAGGGGAGGTTTAGGATGGATATTAGGAAAGATTTCTTCACTGAAAGGGTTGTCAAGCATTGGAACAGACTGCCCAGGGAACTGGTTGAGTTGCTGTCCCTGGAGGTACTTAAAAGATGTGTAGATGTAGTGCTGAAAGATATGGTTTAGTGGTAACTTGTCAGTGCTAGGTTAGCAGTTGGACTCAATGACCTTAAAACTCTTCTACCAACCAAAAAGAGTCTATGATTGTATCCTATCAGAAACATCTATTTGATAAAATAGCATTTTTATTACAAAAATATAAAACATCCTCTGAATTCCTCTCTTAGCTGTTGATTTGAATTTAAGATGATAGATCAGAGATGAAGAATAAAATCAACCTAAATGGCAGATAAAACTATTTTTTGGCTAGTTTTGTCCTCTATGCAGTTACAAAAATATATAAATACATATATTGGGAAAAAAAGAAATAGAAGAGGACTAAGACAGAAGCTGGCCATTTTATATGTGTACATGTAGCACCACATGAAAAATGTATGGATGTTCTTGTTGGAAAAACTTAAATGGTACACTTGTTTAACATTTGCTCACTGAATATGTTCTACAGATTAAGTCAATATGTGTATAGTTTGAATATGTACTTGTCTTAACACTTCTAGTCTTAATCAGACAGCTGTATGAAAAACCTAGGTGTATTTTGGTTTTCTTTTTTTTTTTTTTTGTTCGTTTGCTTGCTTTTTTTCCTGCAGCTTATTCAAACCATAAGTGCAGTAGACAAAGATGACCCTCTTGGTGGACAAAAATTTTTCTTCAGTTTAGCTGCTGTTAACCCTAACTTCACTGTTCAGGATAATGAAGGTAAAATTTATGCCTGTTCCATGGAAGGAGTTTTATCTTTGATGTCTGATGTATATTCCTGAAATATACTTGCTTTTGATGTCTATCAGTAAGTAGAGAAGCCATTGAGGCTGCTTTCAAGAATAATAATTTTACCTCAATGTTTGTGGTTTAGGATTTCTACATTTTTATCTCTGTAAGGGAGGCAAAAATTGGCATGACAAAAATGTGATAAAACAAATTATAAAGAAAATTGGTAACAGTGTTGGTTTGGGGTGAGTAGACAGATGAAGTACTTGACTGAAGAAGAAAAAAAGGTTTAAAAAATGTCTTCACCTGACAAGTCTGGATTTGTCACTTTAGCCTTCTGTCACATAATTCCGACTCCCCTGGTCTCCTGTTTGTCATCTTTCTCACCATTAATGAAAATAATAGTTCTGAGCACATAGCCACTTTGGCTTTTCTTTTGATCCTATGTCAATCTTCTTTATCAGAGAAAATTTTCAGAAGATTCTGTTGAGGAAGGGGGACTACACACCCATTTTGGCCTTCATTATCTGTGTCATTAACTGAGGGGGTCCTAGATTACAGAAGAAATATATAAGGGGGAACATGGTACCAGCCTTCAAATATATTGCATAAAGACAATGGGAATAATCCTCTTTTCCTGATGAAGATTGCAGGAAGTAATAGTCTGCAAACATGAAAAAATTTAGCTTAGGAAGAGAAAAAAATTCTAACAGTCGGGAAAGTAAAGAATTGAAATAAAATTGTTTGGGCATCTTATAAAATACCCAGCAGCAAAGGTATTTAAAGATATGTAAGACACATAGTTTTTGATGTTGAGTGAAAACAAATAGCATACAGATTCCCAAAAGCAATGAAGGGATGCAATAAAAGAAAACTTTGTGTTTCACATCATGAAGACTATGAAAAAAAAAATAAATTAATATTTTAAACAAGATTATATCCTGGTGAGTAGGTCCTGAGTGTGCAGAGGTATAGAGGTTGCTATTTGTTTTCTATCCTATCTAATAATTTTCTTTGGTTTTGCACATGGGTTATTTTAATTCAGCCTGAAGTCAGCCTGCAAGATAGCTAACCACTTACCTCAAGAGATCCACAAGTATGATGAAAATTAAATTCTCCTTATAATGCAGGCTATACCTGTAATTCCTCTCTTTTGGCCTACAAAGTTAGCAACTTTAGTGTTGGCTCACACCCTAGCGTTGTGGCCCTAAGAATAGAAGAAATAGCCTCTCCCTGTTATTCATTCTTTCCCTTCCCTCTGTCCACTCAGTGAACAGCATTTGATGCTGAAACATATTGCATACAAGTAAGATATGTCTGCAACAAATACAGTTTAGTAAATTCACTTCCCAAAACTGTGCAGGAATACCTACCACCTTTCATATTTTCTGAATTCCTAAGACAATTTTTACCCACAAAACCTACTCCACATGCTAAGGTACATAATTCATTCTTCTACAGTAAGTTGAAAGTGTTTTGGTGTGGAAAATCTCATACTGAGTTTACAGATAGCATTCCTGTGGGTGTTGTCAGAGAAAAGCCATAGAAAAAATCTTTCAGAACAGAGTGCTTGTCGAACAGCGTGAAGTGGAAGGTTATGTTTTCTCAATTGGCCACTTCATTTCAGGGCCTCAGCCCTGAACTGGAACCGTGTCACGCACTGCATGCATTAATCTATAAACCATTTTAGGTTTGGAGAAATTCTCTTTTCAAATCACACTCAAAGGTGGTTCAGAGGCACAGAGGAATGGGCCAGACGTACATAAAAAAATTATAAATAGCTTTCTAATCAAATGGGAATGTCATTAGAAAAAGAGAGATATCACTATGATACCAGGAACAGTTTCAAAATGCTTCTAATGTTCTAAAATATGATGGTTTGCATGTACTATAAATGACACATTTTATGTTGATATACCCTACAACAGTATATTTTAATCAATCTAGATAACACTGCCAGAATTTTGACGAGAAGGAATGGCTTTAGTCGACATGAAATCAGTACTTACCTTCTGCCAGTGGTGATCTCGGACAATGACTACCCGATCCAGAGCAGCACTGGCACGCTGACCATTCGTGTGTGCGCCTGCGACAGCCGGGGGAACATGCAGTCCTGCAACGCTGAGGCCTTGCTCCTCCCTGCGGGCCTCAGCACGGGGGCACTGGTGGCCATTCTCCTTTGCATCATTATCCTGCTAGGTAA